ATCCACTCTTATAACTTTGCCATTACACATTTGTTTGTCTAAAGACCTGAACAAGGCCCTTGGAAACACCATGGATGCCCATGAAGCGGCCCAGATGCACCAGAACTTCTCTCAGCAGCTGCTGCAGGACCACATCGCTGCCTGCAGCCTCCCTGAGCATAACCTCATCAGTGTATGTGGAGCACATTAGCCTGCTTCTTTTATCTGAACTTGCATTTATCCTTATTTTTCTTACTAATGGAGTGCTGGATTCATGTGTTTGTCCATTTTTGTAATACTTGCATCACTGTATTTTCTGCCTGTTTTTCAGTGGACTGATGGCCCTCCCCCTGTCCAGATTCAAGCCCAGAACGGCCCAACCACCAGCCTAGCAAGCCTGCTATGAGAAAACACGTGTCTCAGATGACGGTAGCTTGTATATCGTTGTAAGCAAACAGACTGGTGCCGAACAACCTGCTATCAGACCACTGTAGCAGGTCACAGAGTACAGGCCTTCACTTTATTGGCTTCTACACATTGCTTCCTGATTGTCTGCTATCACATTTTCAAATGTTAAAACAAACTACAACTACTGTTGCACATGTATTTCATGCTCTCTGATGGCATAGATGCTACCACGCTACAAGGGTTGGATTGGAGTAGTGGAGGACACAGCAACATGTGAAGGGGAATCCCTGCCTCAGAGAAAGACGGCCTTCTCTACGTTTCTTTTCCATTTGTTGGGAAAACAAAAAAGGTAGATAGGGGAGCATGCAGAGGAAATTAATTTATTCATGTTGATATTTTTGTAACTGTTGGTATATATTTTTCACCTTGCCTTTTTGTTTGTAAGCATCCTCCTTTTTTTTTCTTTTTTTTTTTTCCATGCATGGAAGTTACTGATGCGGACTCCCTGTACATTAGTTTCTGATCTGGGTTCCTTATAAGACATTCTTCGTAGATACTTTTTGCACAATATCTATATTTGAAAGAATAGGGACATGTAAAATACTATCACGCAATCAGTTGAGACATTTCACAAGGGCAGTATGCATTGTATTTGGACAGTGCACAATCTACTGCGTGCAGTTCCTCTATGGACCGGAGTATGCGTCACTTTTGGTTCGTTCATGAGCAAAGTTTGAATACTTCAGAATTTTTATCCTCAGAGGTTTTGAAGGTGCCACATACCCATTAAATGACACATTGAACTGATGTATTGTTTAAAGTTCCTTATTGTATGAATTTTCTCTCGATGTATTAATTTTTACAGATCATTGAGCTCATTTTAATCTTCAGATATTCAAAAAGTCTTTTATTTTGTTATATTTTAATTTGTCTTGATAGTTCTACTAAAGGGTTTCTTTTCACTTTGTTTGTATAGATTTGCCCCTTTGTTGAACCCTTATTGTACAGTGACATTTTATAAAGTCAATTTAGTAAAGTGTGATATGTATTTTTAGCTATCCTATGTAGAAATCTCAATGCTTGGTATTTAAGGCACTCTGTACTGACACAGTTTAAGCTGAAGTACAAGCCATACCCTATTCTATCCAATGCCCATGTTTTTAATGCTTACCTAGTTTTCAATAATTTTCCAATAAAAATCTGATTGAAATTGTGTATTTTATTGACTAATACATTCATTTGAGTACTTTCTTCTATTAGACTGAAGGTTGTTTATAAGCCTCTGGGTGCATGCACACTGTCGTTGGATAACTATGACAAGTGGAGGAGAACTTGGCCTCTCAACCCTTTGATGACCTGTTAAAGTTGTACACAGCAATACGTTACAAAGGAAACTCGATGACACTGGTAGCTGCATGACACACAGAAGTGAGTTAAGTGCAGTGTAAGCAAGTTTCAGTTTGAGTCGGTGATGAGGATGTTTTTTTAAGCCTTTAGGTGGTGCTAGAGTTTTCCAGTGTTTTGCTTGCAAGAAATTGTACACAAGTTTCTTCAAGACCAAATATGAACACATTTTGGTTTGAATTAAACAATCATATTTAAAGAGAATGTATCAAGTTAGATTATAACAGTTCACTTCTGTTTTATTTCTTGTTTAATGCTTGAGATGTTAAAATGGTAAAATAGATCTGCATGCCCCTGGGGACAACTTCCTTCATGTTGATCTCTGGTTATTTTACCATTTAACTTCCTGGTTTGCACATCTTGTAGGCGGGTTTTCTGCATGACGGAAATTGATAGTCAGGGGTAATTATTAACAGGGATAATAATTCGCCAGGTTAGTTTTAATAACATTGATTCCCACAACAGCTCCAAATAATAAGTTGTGGACATTGAAGTGATCCCATATGGTTCATGAGTTATATGGTCCAGATATATTGTACATCACAAGAGTCACTTGTGTCAATTTGTGTACCTCTGGATCAGGCTATCAAGGCATAACCCAAGGACAGTATTGTACCTCATAAATAGACATATGTACTCTGCAAGGTGGCAGGAGCTAATTTGGCACAATACTTGTGTTTGTGTAAGTTTGGAACTCTTGTCTTGATCATTCTTGGAGCTGCTGCAGGATCTGTATGATCGTCATAGGATCATATCAGCGTGGCACAAGGCCAGATAGACTCAGATGTCAGATGTCTATACTCTGTAATCACTAGTTCTGGTCATGTTCCTGGTTCATGTTGTGCAGGATTAATGAACTGTTAGCACAACAAACTTTTGAGCATAGAATATGCCATAAGCTGAAGAAATGTTTTAAATAGAAATATTACATGATGGCATTCTCTTTTTTAAAATTGGGGAGCAAAATTACTTTTAAAATAATTACTTAATTATTATTAATTAAAAGTTTGAAGCATTTGTAAACAGTATAGGTACACTGTAGTTACTATTTGTCAGCAATACCAATTAAGAAGGAGGACTTGGCAAACAGAGACACTGATGCACATAAATAAGCCTTAATGTTATTCTCCATTTATATGCTGCCTCTTGGCCAAATAATTGAATGCCACAAAGTGTCCTTTCACTGCTACGCAGACGACACACAGATATACCTTCCTTCGAGACCTGAGGACGTCAGAGACTGTCTAAACGATATCAACTGCTGGATGGCACAAAACTTTCTCCAACTGAACAATTGAATATGAATACTATGAAATCATAGTATTCAACCCGCCAAACTCTACTCATATTTCAGAGCAGCCTCGGTCCCTTATTCGCCAATGTCCAACCCACCGCCAGAAATCTAGGACTAACATTTGATTGCAATCTCACCTTTGACTCCCATATCAAAACAGTTATCTGATCATGCTTCTTCAATTTACGCACCATCTCCAAAATTAAAACAATACTAACCCAACCACACCTTGAAAAGATCATCCACGCCCTCATTTTCTCCTGACTTGACTACTGTAATTCCCTCTTTTCCGGAATCACAAATAAGTCACTGTCTCGCCTCCAGCTAGTCCAAAATGCAGCAGCTAGGCTTCTTACTGGTTTTAACAGACGACATCACATCACTCCAATTTTAGCTTCATTACACTGGCTTCCTGTAAGTTTTAGAATCGATTTTAAGATTTTACTCATTACTTTTAAAGCACGGACGGGGCTGGCTCCAAGCTATATAACAGAGCTGCTGACACCATATGTGCCAGCCCGCAGTCTTGGATCCTCAGCTGGGGGCCTCCTGGTCGTCCCAAAGTCAAGACTTAAAACCAAAGTGTGACTGGGCCTTTTCAGTCAGGGCCCCTTGACTTTGGAACGACCTCCCTGAGGAGATAAGACTCGCAGATTCCCTCAATTCTTTTAAAGCCCTTCTTAAAACGTACTTTTACAGACTTGCTTTTATGTGATGTCGTCTTCTTAATGTCTTTTCTTACTGGTTTTACTATTTTTATCTTCTTTTACTTCTTACTGTTCTTTTATTTATGCTCTTTATTTATACTCTTATCTTAACTCCTCTTATGTTTTAACTTGGTCATTTTTTTTATCTTACTTTGTCTATTTATGATTTATATTTATATAAACTTTTTATTTTTATTAATATTTTGTTTATTTATCATTTAATCACTTGTTTCTATTTCTTTTACTGCTCTTACCTTCTTATTGCTGTTATCTTTTTATTTGCGTTTAGCTCTTTTAGTTTCTTACATCTTTTAAAATCTTTGGTCCTCTTGGTCTCAGCTCGTGTTGTTGGGTTCTTTGTGTTGCCTGGATTCTTATGATGGTTCTTGTGATGGTCGGGTTATATATGTCTGTTGGGTATCGTGCAATATGGGTTCTTTTCTGTTGAATTGTATTGAATTATTTTTAATATTTTGCATTTGTTATGTTCTTGCTGTTGTTTATGTTCTTCTGTGTTTGGTTTAGTTTGCTTTGTTCTTGTTTTTGCTGTTTGTCAAAGCACTTTGTAAACCTGTGCTTTGTAAAAGGTGCTATATAAATAAAGTTATTATCATTATTATTATTATTAATAAGATATACATACTAATTATATGTGTCAAACGTACAGAGACCAAGAAGAACATACTATTATGGAAAGTACGATATGAAAAGGTAAGTTAAAACAATAGGGTTTTTTTTACACACACCAACTCAGAATAGTATGGACTCAAAAACACCACAGATGTAGGAACATAGTTGTGACTTACTGAATAGTCAGTAAAACATAATAAAGTTAAAGGGTCATAGTAACATTTTTGCATCATTTTAATATATATTGTGTTGCAGTTCCAGCGATCTTAAGACTGCAAGACGTGTAGGAATACTTTCCTTCTGCATAAAAAATGTATACATTATTTTAATCATTATTTAACAATTGCATGTATCTAATAAAATCCAATCAAATGTAATTCCCAAATTAAAGGTTATAACACAATTAAAAAGTGGTGTTTACTTATTTGCACATTTAAAAATGGCTAAACGCTGTTTGGATTCCCATCCATTTGTTGTTTTGTTTTTCCACTCTCGACAGTGCTTTCTCCTTTCTATCCCATGAGTTGGAAACTTAACATTTCCGAGGTGTGTATGAACGCAGCATGACGCCGCCTGTGGTGGCTCATTACATTATCTGGCAACCGGAGTGGCAGCGGACAGAAGAGAGGGGATCCCCGGGATTTTTTTTTTTTTACACCGAAGCCAGTTAAACACCAGCAGAAAAAACATCTGAAAATCGCGGGGGAACTCGATCAGGCTCCTCCTAGACTCCGTAAGTTCATATATATATATATATATATATCGTTATCATAATCAACTCATTCATTATTCAATTTTCTCAATCAAATCATGACGACGGAAGGGAAGTTTCTCTATTGGTGTTAGCTCCAGCTACCGTAAGTTGAGCTAACTAGCATAGCTTGATCCCGGCTAAAGTGAAGGTAACAGTTGTCGCTGTGCTACACACACACACACACACCTACAGAGAGTGCAGGCTTGCCAAGAACAGACCGCCTCAAAAAGTCGAGCAATATTAAAACTAACTTCCCCGGCAAACTTATTAAGAGTATGCACCCGTAGTGAAACATAATTCAAGTTGCTCTTGTTGTAGACGTGTAAATACAGGTGGAAACTAGGAGACACATGTGTCATAGTTTGGGTAATTAACGCCTGATTACTTGTGAATAATTTCAGCTAATGTCTCGTCTTGAGTGTCCAGGGAGTTAGCGTTAGCATGCTAACATAGCTCGCTAGCTAGCCTTTTAACACTAACAAGAGACGGGGTCGATTTCATTGTCTTGTCGTGTATCGCTATTTGGAGGCGAACAGAAATCCAAGCGACACATCATAACCCTTTATGCTCACTTGTCAAGTGTTGAGCTACGTTACATTTATTTTTATTTTTTTATCTGTACTATCTTGATGATCATAATTGTTAGCTCGTCTTAGTTAGCTTCTGTGTGTGTGTGTGTGTGTGTGTGTTTTTTTTGGTAGCCTGGACAGATGGACAGGTTGTTGTTGGCAAGCCAAGTTAACGTTAGCATGAGGTAGCTTGTTGTTGTTGTTTGATGGGTTGGGTGAAAATTAAGTAGCAAAGTTGGGACTCTAAAGTTTATGGATATCCAGTTTGACACTGGTTTAACACTAAGACGACTCCTGTTGTTAGCCGTGGATGGTTACAGCTGCTCTGTGAGCCATTGATCTCAGAACTTTGTCAGATTAGCTGAACCGTGAAAAGCCTTTTTTTTTTTTTTATGGAGGCGTAATGGTGGACGGTGGTGCCTCCGTTTGGGTGTGTGTGTGTGTGTGTGTTCACGACGAGTAAGTGGCGATCACCTACGTCAGGCTGTAGACAACTGAACGCATACTTTTGTGGTTGTTCTGAATTATAAGGTTTGTGTGCACCTAGGATCAGATCCACCACGGTATGTTATGTTATGTAAATAGACGTCTCGCTCTTTAAGGGATCTGCTTCCACTGTGTCGTTCATTTCCACGTTCAAGTTAGGTATTCGGAAGGCATCTTGTGATTTGAATCATGTGATGTTAAAAGAGGCGATACATTATTTGTGAGATATCTGAATTATTTAAGATGAATGTTGTGGCTTAGAGTTTGAATTAGGATTTCTGAGGCAGTTACTACATCTATGAGAAGCTATGAACCATGGGTGATGTCGTTTCAGTGGACACCTGTCTTTTGAGGTGTTTTTAAGCTGAGCAGTAGTATCCTTTCCCCTTTAGAGCAAGTGTCCTCCTTATAGAGCTAGCAGACTGTTGGTACCCTTGGCTAGTGACGGTGGACACATTTTATGATGGGCCTTAGATTTGCCTGAGGAGAGGGGGGCCTCTTTATGAAAAATTCTCCTGAGAGTGATGTAACCCGATGGGCATGACTTAAGATCCACTCTTATCCACTGCTTCATCATGACCAAAACTTTAAAACACACATATAGTTTTCCCTTTACTCGCTACAATTTCTTATTTTTCTTTTGTCATTTGCTCCAAGGTACCTTGCCTAATTTTCAGTTTATTATGGTTTTCATTCGTGAATGAATTCAGAGGTTCAAGTTGTGCTCTTCAATCCTGATATTGTGCTGACAATCCTGACGAAAGTTAAGCACACACTTCCATTTTTATTTTAGTTTAGTTGTTACTTTTAAGTAAAAGTTATGCGTGTGAAAGTTGAATGGCGATCACATCTGTAATACATGTGAATGTAACAATCCCCACAACAGTCTTTGTTTCTTACCTTCATTAATTACATTAATTTGGACCGTACACGTGTGGTAGCTCTCTGGACTGTATTATGACATAGCTATTATATTTTTAAGTGCATCCAGATTTGGAATGTTGTTGTGACAATAGTATCTGTGTAGCTCACTGTAAGACACAGTTTAACTTAACACTTACTGTGTCTGGTTGAGTGTGAGCCCAGTCGTTCTGAGAAGTTAACAGGAAATGCTGTTTAGACTACAAAGTCTACACAATCATTCAGCTAGACAGTAGCTGCTGTGAGATGATGGACCTGCATTATACTTTAAAATCTTAAAGATAAGGATTAAGCCATAGGGATGTCACAAGTAGAATTATTAAGAACGTATTGTCTGTCAAATAAAAGTAAAAGACGATGCTGCGATGGATCATCAACCTCTTTTTATATTGTGGTGGTTCAATTTGTGGTTCTGTTTTGTTTGTTACTTCTAGTTTCAATTTATTAAGTGCTTGAAGTTTCATCTAACATTTTTTAAAGTGAATGGATGCTTGACTGACTGTGGTTGGATTGTTGTTGTCAAGTCAGTTTTATTTATCTGGCCCAATAGTTTACATTTGCCTAAAGGAAGGAAGAGGAGGTTTGATGAAGGAAAGATAAATATTTAAATGAGGAAAATAAAAGAAACTCATCAGAGGAGAGATACCTGTTTTAGGCAAGCATACATGTATTCTAGAATAAAACTAAAACAATTCAAAGTTCTTAAAAATATATATTTTAAACAAAAATAAAGAATCTGTGTCAAAGAGGATACAGAGTAACTCCAAATCTAAGTGACCTTTCCACAAGGAGCCCTGTGAGCATAGAGACAACACTAACACACAAACATAGGTGAAAGGAAACTGACACATGTAAGAAGAGAGGAATGGACAACATACACACAAGGGAGAAAGAGAAAGACGAGAGAAGAGGCTGTTTCTCTTGGAGGACATAGATCGAGTTGAAAACATCATGACACATGCACCGACAGCCATGGTAGAGAGAGAGAGAGAGAGACAGAGAGAGAGAGAGGTCCCAGGGCAGCCAAGGGGCCAGCACAGAAGTAAGAGAGTAAAAACACATTCTGGATGCTCCTCTACCTGAAAGGTTAGAAGAAACATGAAGTAAGTATTTTGTTCACAGTATTCTTGATGGCTGCTGGTCATGATCTATTAGCTCAAGTCTAGTTTTTATTTAGACTAACATCAAGCTAGTGGAAGGAAGGATCATTGAAACAGAGGCAAGGCTTTAAGTAAGAAGGCACTGAGCTACCAACTGAAAGTGAAAGTGCACTGCACACTTGGCGACATTGTCTGTGAGGGGTGCATGTGTGAACTAGTGTTGTCACGATACCAAAATACTCATTACTGAAAGGATACTTCAGCTGAAATGATACTGGTTCAATACTCAATACCTAATGATCAGAAATAGGATGTCTACAGGGATTGGTCACATTTTGGAATTCACAGATTATTATTAAAAACCTTTTACTGACTAAAACTTCGTTGTTATTTAATATTTACACTTTTATCTAATCTTCATCAGGGCAAATTAGTTATGTAAATATTTATTTGGACACATTTAGAGTGCTTTTACGGAACCATGACACTCGCAGAGTGTACAAAATACATTTTCCACAATATCTTAAATCTTATCTCATTTTAATTGTATATACGGCCAGGGCGAATTTCAAATGTGATTATATTAATTGGGTCTATGTTGATGTATTAAAATTTGATAGCATTTAGCACAAATTACATTAGGCATTATAGACCTGCCCTGCACAATGCCCATGTTTTATTTTATGAATAGAATAGATTGTTGGTCTATTATCAGGCCATTGTCACTAAAAAACTTAAGCAACCCAATCACATTTATTCATATTGATCCAGGAGCATTAAGTTCACTATGGGCACTGTTGTGTTTCATTTTATTTACGTTGAGGGTTTCCCTTTTTGCTGGCTATTTAACTTTTTTTAAAGCACAAAAAATGACACCCCAATGTAGCTTAAAAAATGTGTTAGATGTAACATGTTCTAATATGCTTCAGCTATTTACAATGCACGATGGGGATAATGCTGACACACTACTAATATTCATAAGAGCAACCAATCCGGGTACTTTGCCCAAACGATGCCAGCCCCGCCCCTTTCTGGGTGAAATCATTCCATCTGAATGAATGGCGGTTAATGGAAAAGTCGGGGTCTTTACCAGTATGAGCCTAAATCCGATGACCAGTGATGTAAACATTTAAAATATGACATTTGTGAACAGAGATCGGCATCATAACATTATAAAATAAACACTAAAACGTGAACATGAGTGTCTTTTCAGTTTCTCTCCGTCAAACTGGTCAAACAAGCACATACTGTGATCAGGAGTCATAAACTCACATCACACACCTGATGAGAAATTATTAACCATGTTACCCGAGAAAGATCTTTACTTTTAAATAATATTTCTTTCTAATAGTTTTTAACAGTGTTCATAGCTGTATGGAGTGGTTATAGATGTTTAGTTTAGAGAAAAAACGGACATAAACTCTGGGTTTTCAGCTGATTTAGAAAAGACTAACATAGTAATGTCACCTGGATGATTTTAATACCTTTTTTTTTTTCTTAATACGTGAGTGTGAATGTTGACGAGGAGGTTTTGTATCAAGCTAGCAAACTTTTTATTTTGACATTTATTTTATAGTAAGAGGATTTGGTGTAGTGTTCCTTTCTTTAGAGACATTTTCACCAACATATTTATGTGACGTGACAGTTGAAACGTTGTTAATACGTTAGTGAACGTGTGAAGAATCAGGTAATAGACTTCGCTGCTGTCACGGAGCGATCGCTGCCTTAAAGCCAGCAGGAATATGACAGCGGTCCCACAGTTTACCACTTTAAGTTTCAGTCCAAACACACAGAGCTCTTCTTTTACCCTCCTTTGTCCTTTGTGTTTTTAAAAAAGTACAAAAAGCTAGGCAATAGCGTTTAATGCCACCGCTAGAAGTGTTTTCTATTCTACTGCCGATAC